AAACATAGCTAAGAGATCCTATGAAAATAGGCAAACTTTTTAATCTATGTTGATGTCTCGTCACCAGAATGTAAGACAAAATCATAAACATAGCTAAGAGATCCTATGAAAATAGGCAAACTTTTTAATCTATGTTGATGTCTCGTCACCAGAATGCAAGACAAAATCATAAACATAGCTAAGAGATCCTATGAAAATAGGCAAACATTTAATCTATGTTGATGTCTCGTCACCAGAATGTAAGACAAAATCATAAACATAGCTAAGAGATCCTATGAAAATAGGGAAACTTTAATATATTTTGGAACAACAACAACAACAACAACAACGCTAACAAACTGAAATTGTGTCATATATGACCCCCGTTCAATTATTGTAACTTTTAAATGTGTAACCATTTGCTAGTAAGAATACTTTGAATATAAGCAGTCCTAAAGAGACCACACACGGTGTTATCTCGAGCTAGACGGTTCGGCATGCGGCCTCACCCCCTTCACCAGACTCTTCGAGGGCGCATAGCCACCTAAAAAAACACTGTAGCACGTGGTGGTTCTTTGGGAACAAAGCCCGAGGCTGGCAGATAGAAGGCAGCTCGCAAGAGGCGAGGGTCGTCATTCTCAATGTAACATTTCTATGTATCTTTCTTCATTCTTTTTCTTCTTCAATAAACTTGGTTAATAATATTATCAACGTGTGGAGTGTGGTCTGTTTAATCTTGGGCCCTAGCGTCAGCTCCTGCACCAAGACGAACCCCTGACTCTCAGTGGCACTAGCGAGAGTTTTTAGTAACAAGTACGCGGCGGCGGCGGCGGGAACTGCCACCCCCACCGGCGCCGGGTAAACGCGTTACAATTGCACTAATGAAGAACCAGTTGCATTTCTTTAGGCCTCAAATGGTTAGTCGCTGGCTTCTCGCCGCGGCAGCCCGGGTTCGATCCTGGGTCTGGTCAAGTGGGATTTGTGGTGGACAAAGTGGCGCTGGGGCTGGTTTTCTCCGAGTACTTCGGTTTCCCCTGCCAATCTTCATTCCACCAACTGCTCCACAATCACCCTCACATATCATCTGGGGCTGGTACAATAGGCCAGAAGTGGCCGCAGTACAAGGGACTTAGTCCCACCCCACTAGCAATAAAAAAAAACACGAAGAACATTTAAAATTCTGAGAATGGTTACTAACATTCAATTCAGAATCTTCTCGCCTATCTAAAAACGTAACGCTTAAGTATACAAAATTATAACTTTGAATGCAGTTTTGTTTACATCCCGAAAATTGATCTCTCACCTACTTCATGTAGCTACACTGAGGGCATCTCAGAACAAGATGCTGAGAGGGATCTACGAGGAATCTATGGACAACTCAAGAAAACGGTATAATGAGGAGCTTCCTGATTTGTATTCTTCGCCAAATATTACTAGAATGGTAAAATCAAAGAGGATTAAATGGACAGCAGAGGTCTTCACGGACCTGGACCTGGCCCTCGGGCAGGGTCTGGTATCAGACGACGTTGGAGTTCGGGCCTGGTTCAAATGACAGCTACCACACATTACATAGCATATTGCAGGTTTTCCTACTGGATTCTATTTTCAGCATACGGTAAGAACCCAAATCGTCACACTGAAGCTCTGACAACAATTTCCTTCGGTAAGGTTCCCAGAGAGAAAATCCTTCTGCCTGTGAGGAACCGAACCCAGGTCACCCTGCTCTTACCGACTCCTACACAAAGCCATTGAGGCTCTATGATGATAGTCATAATTTTATCACAAACTGCGTCCTTCTCTGCTATTAACATCACCGACGGATTCGAAGGAAATGTCATTCTGATAATCAGCATTCCTAGCTAACGTCACGCACAAGGACTCTGCGTAAGTAGAACTCTTATCATGCAGGCAGCAGTCCAAGAAACATTTAAGCGACTTTCAATGAGTACCCCCATTCATTCAATTCTATGTCTTCATCATATATTTACAGACCTACTGAGCGTCTTTCTCGTATCGCCGCAATTGCGGCAGACAGGATGACATATATCATAGAGGAACTGTCAAATTCTTTGGCCCAACCGCGCCGCCGCTCGGCAATTACTTTTAATGGCCACTCACTCCATAATGCTGAAGGAGCGAAGTCCATCCTCCGTACGCAGCAAATGGTTCGAGCACTGGTGCACGGTCATACAAATGAAACCAGTAGAAGACTTTCGTAAATAACCAACTCTCTCAAACAGTTAAGTTACTGAGATGCTGACAGTCGCTCAGCTAGTCAAGAGAGAACACCACTTGCTTGTACGACTTATTCTCTGACATTGAATATGGAGAAAATACCGCGTGATTCTAAATTACTGTCGGGGTTTCCGTTTATAGGCCACGTAAACAACGACAGTAATTCAGAATCACCCTGTACGTTCCTCCGAAACGTCGGTAAACCTCTACTAGGCTACATGGCGTCACATCATAGACAGTAGTTCTGATGATCAAATAATTCAAAAGTTGACAGGGGGATCGCATACATAGCACAGTGTTACGATAATCCTCCTTTCGTTCGGTAAGGAGAAAGGCAGGCAGGCAGAAAAAACGGGAGATAACTGTAATATTTTTATTATTCACGAATATTATTTTTATCGGCCCCACAAAAACATCATCCAACATTCTTCTCTCAAAATAGACAACATTATTCGAAATCGTCCTTGAGGATTTCCGTTCGCCAGACACTGGAAATGTACTCGTACAGCGGGACAGCCAAAACTGTAATTCATTTATGGGAGAAGCAGACTACTATACAGCACGTTCGATTCCTGTTCAGTATGGTCTGAAACAAGGACATGCCGCATCGCCAATGATTTCCAACTTTGTTTTAGAATACGCCATTCGGAAGATTAATCAAAATCAGGAAGCCTTCACGTTGAATGGGACATATCGACTTCTGGTCTACGTTTGTTATCTTACTATTTGTTTTTCTTGGCACTACAGCCCCAGTGGGCCTAGGCCTACCTCTTACTATACTGGGCGCAAATATAAAGCAATAACAGAAGCTGGTTTAAAAGTGCAAGTTCATGTCTCGTCATTAGAATGCAGGAGAGAACGTAATACAGAATTGGATAATATATCCTTCGAAAATATCACGAAGTTCAAATACTGTATCTGGGAACGACAGTAACAGATAAATCGAAAGAATAAAATTGACGAATGTCTGATTCCATTCAGTTAGGCGTTTTACCTCTCCGTCTATCTAAATACGTAGAGTCATACATACTGTGACATTACGCCTGAAAGCCGGTGTAGTCCACTGCTACACCACGGTTAGCCAGGAAATCAACACACGTTTCCGCACCACTGAACAGACGCTGTAACAGATTAACTGTTCGAGATGGTAATCTATATTCGGTTCGCCTGAAGTTAGTTCAGTTCAGGAGAGTTCAGTGTTCAGCCGTGGAGTGTTAACCTGAGAACAGAAGCTGAACAAGTGAGCGATTCGTAAATCACAACCAAGTCAGTTACGCAGAAGAGAAGATATTCGTAGTCCAGTAAAGAATGGAGCGAGTCTTAAGCAGTCACTGACTGTGAACTGTTATAATTGATTGCAATTGTAAAAAAATCGGAAATAATTCCAATCATTCAATCCAGAACCCGTTATTATTAGTCACAGAACCCTTGACACGTGACAAATTTGGTGTCAGAAGTGGTTGCGATGTGGAGGAGGATTCGAATACCTCCAGTGTAGCCCTGCGAGTGGTGAGAGGCGACGAAAAGGGAACCCAGTGCCTGGGAGTATAACCGGGCCACCCTGTTTCCGGGGGATATAAATACAGGGACCTGACCCCTTCAGATTGGGGGAGTCTCGAATCTCATAATGTAAAATGTGGTCATGAGTCCCGTGGGACTCGGACCCGAGAATTAATGCGCTGGCGAAGGCCAGCAACAACTGTAAACGACAGACTAAGCTGAAACGAAGATACTGGTCGTAAGTCTCAAGGGGCCTGACGCCAAGACGAACTCAATGGCGCTAAACAGGCAGTCGTAAAGTAACAATGACTTTGAGCTCAGTTCACTTGTGAGGCGGTGCCCAACTGGCAATGGCGTGAGTGCGTAAGCTGAAGCATCTCCACTGTTAGAAACCGTTGCCAAGGAACGATTGGTGAAGACACAGCAGGCTGGAAAGACTTAGCTTGTGCTCTAGTGATTTGTAAAGTGTGGAGATCAGCGATGGCGCCATAATCAAGTGTAGTCACGGGTCGTGTGTTAAAGTGGACAATAAAACCGATCTTCATCCCAAATCCCGTCTACAGTCACTCTAAGACGTGACAATATGTAAATATGTGTGTGCCGATGGCGACCCTTAAATTTAGAAGTTTTCAGGCATCCAAACAGTTCTAACACAGCCTCCAAGAACTTTGTTGATTGCGGAATCCGTGGCTCGAAAATTCTCAACAAAATTCCTGATGGTACTGCGGTTTGGAACACTTCCATGTCTCCCGACGTTAAAATACCGCCTCAATATTCGTTGTTCTTAAAAAAACAAATATTTGTACGGCGAACGCACAGTGCACACCGACCAGTATTCATGCTTACTAAATGCCGCCAACCCCACAAGGCTAACCGGTTTTGTCCCCCCTTCGAGTCCGACTGCCTTCTACGCATTTAAAAATTATGGGTCAATGCCGTATCATCCTGTACAAAACGGATCTCTAAAAAGCAGAAGATGGAGACAATGTGGACTGGATTCTTCTAGCTCAAGCCAACTCAAGACAGGCTCCATTAAAGGCGGTGAATATCGCGACCGACTGAGCCACCCAAAAATGACTATACTGCGTGCAATTAACATACTTGTAGGGGTAATTGTTCTGTTACAGTTGTTAAGAGTATGCATTCTGGTGCAGATCTGATTTCTCCACTAGCATCAAGAGTCACACGTTAATGTACCACAAGAACTTCGTTAATTAATTCTGGATGGGAAGAGCCCAGACAGGCAGAAGATGAACTATGTAACTATGAAAAGAGTATGACACTACCTTTTTCAAGTGTTTGTTGACCCATTTGGTGAATGTTTTCTTTTGAATGGCGTCTCGTTCGTCTGAAATGACAAGCAGAAAATTAACATTAGAACAACGACTAAATGTACATGAATGCCTATGAGGTAGGCAACATATAAAATAACGTTTGGAAAATGTGTGTAGCTAGCCCCTAGCTCCGGACGTCCTCAGACAGGGGCTAGCTCTGTCTACTGGACCCAACTGAGTAGGTTTTACCTGAGAACGGGGACAGAATTCAGTCTCCGAAACGTTGGGTTTTGAAAAAGAAACAGGACGCTTTTTAGAAATTAGACAAGACGATGGATAATGTCCAAAAACATAATACTTGTAGCAACAGACCATCATCACAAACATTCAGTTCTTATTAACTCACTATCGTGGAGAAGTTATGGCGACGGGCTAACGGTGAAAGGCTTTACATTAAACCAGAGTTACACCAGTGAATCCCGTTTCGTCGTTTTGATCATTTATAAAAGTACATCTAACAGAGCATTACCAGCAATCAACAGACCTGTCTGCCCGCCTCTGACGAGTGAAACAAAACCAAGGAGTTTAAAAATCATTTTATGTATTCGTTAATTTTATCTCCGATCCCTTTTACAAACGTCCTCTACAAATCCCCACTTCCCTAAAAACCAACTTGTGTGGTCATGTCTGTCGGCATGTCTATGACCAGATATCAGCGTCTCTACCGTCAGACGATATTTTCTTCGAATTCAATATGGGAGGCTTCCACTAAACGCGGTCAAGCAACTCTGATTTTCAATCATATTGGTCCATACCAATGTCTCAATCAACAACTCCGTGGCCTATAGTCCGCAAGCGAACTATACAGTCCCAGCGACCGCCGCTTGTCGGCGAAGTTAGTGCCAACTTTCACACAAGACAATAAATGAACTTCAAATTCGATATGGGAAACTTCCAGCAAAAGTCGAGAATTTAAAGATTTTCAGCCATACTGGTCCATAAAAAGGTCTAATTTACACGGGTTTTTCCATGCACCCAATAATCTGCTTCACAGATACTGTTAAAGTTCGATACAGGAGACTTCCATCAACATTTTCAAGGCAGTTCCGATTTTCACCCTTACTGATACATAACAAACCGTAAATTGCATACGGCCATGATGTACTTTTCAGTGTATCCCATAGATTTTCTTAAAATTCTGCAAAGAAAAGAAAAGAACTCTACCAAAAATTGTCAAGCAACTACAATTTTCAGCCACACTGATCCGCAGGAGAGCCTCGTACGAGGTATGCATACGGTCATAGTAAAATGAATTTTCCAAGTACCCCATAAACCCTCCCAAAGATTGTGGAATACGCCCTTTCCGGTCTTCTTTATTTTAAGGTACTTTTTTTATTGCTAGTGGGGTGGGACTAAGTCCCTTGTACTGCGGCCACTTCAGGCCTATTGTACCAGCCCCAGATGATAAGTGAGGGTGATTGTGGAGCAATTGGTGAAATGAAGATTGGCAGGGGAAACCGAAGTACTAGGAGAAAACCTACCCCAGCGCCACTTTGTCCACCACAAATCCCACTTGACCAGACTCAGAATCGAACCCGGGCCGCCGCGGTGGGAAGCCAGCGACTAACCGCTTGAACTATGGCGCGGCCTTAAGGTACTTATTTCCGTGGTCGAGTACTTATAAACAGTGTGCGTAGTACGGCCTGCTCCGCAAGAGTTGTCCTTAAGGCATGAAGGTCATAAAAATGGAGACTGGAGGCGTTAAATGTAAGCAGCTACAACGAACAACAAAAATTGATTCGAAACTGCAGTGTACATACTTCTAAACGGGCACACTGATTGCATAATGTAAAGGAGAGTATTCTGCATGGCCTGTTAATGCCACGCGACTGTGCGCAGGCTGGCACCGTACATAGGCCCGGTTTCCCTTGGAGAGCAATACTCGTACTTAGCGGGCATAACATTACTCTGATCGGTGAAAAGGGCCAACATTTCTCGAATCCTAACATCACTGTCAAGCGGCAAAGAATCAACAAAACCATAATAAAATTCAACAATGTAACATAACGCATTCTGACTCCACAGAAACAAGATACTGGACTGCCATGGCATAAACAATCAAGCTGTATTACCATAGACAGGCCTTCACACAACCTTACAATGACCACTGTAACTGCGTCTGTTATCTGAGCACACATAGCGGTAACATTACACTCGTAAAACAAACTTCAGAGCTAAGATGTGAGACTTCAGACATGCAGTCCAATTCTGCTAGCTCCTCAGCATGATTAAACTAACACAGCTCCTTAACATAATTAAACTAACGCTGACATCTGTTAACAGTCATATCAAATGGTGATGTAACACGTATAGTCAATTATTTACGAGACAGAATAAACACACTTAGCATAAATTCATGTTTCAAAAAGAAAGTGCAAATTATGGCGTCACCATGTAAGAGCGCGCAGTGAGTGCGTGCGTGCATGCATGCGCGCCAACCACATCGACTTGTAACACAACTTCATATAATTTAAGGAAAACTCACACCCATTTTCGTGTTTTAATTCTCAACTATTAATAAAATAAACACTGCAGCCGTAAGAACTCTGAACACGAGAAGAGCGTCATTCAAGAAACCGACTCATTCTTAACTTACTTCACGTTTTAACATAAAATTACAAGTTTCAAAAGTGTCTGAACAGGTCAGTCGGTGTAGTGATGGAATAAGAGCTGGACGGCCAGAGTTCGATTCCAGACTCTTCTCCGTAGCGTCCCTCAGTCTCTCCCAGTCTTCCATCGAATGGGTAACGGGAACTCCCTCCCCGGGGATAGTGCTTAGGCGCCAAGCTGACCATCCACCTTCATCAAAAGCCGAGGTCAAGAAAGGTGAATCTATACCTTCACTCCCCAAGCGTCTTCAAGAAACAGTGCTTAGTTAATTACGCACAGAGGGGGCCGGGGTCGAGTCCCAGTAGGGTCAAACGATTTCTCTTCTCCACGTCGTCCAGACCGGCTCTGGGGCCCATTCAGCCTCCTATTCATTGGGCACCGGGACTCACTCCCCGGGAGTAAAGCGGCCGGGGCGTAAAACTGACGGCTCACATCCAACTAGTGCCGGAGTCAAGAAAAAGTGAGTCTATACATCCACTCCCTCATACGCCCCCATGACGTAGTGCTTAATTAGTTAAGCACGGGGAACTTTACCACAGATAACTTTATATTTGTTATCTTACTTTGTTTTCACAGGCCACTTTCTGCCAGGTTTCAAGAAGTTCGCTCAACGCCAGGGCCAGAATTCTGAAGACAAGTGGGATAACTGCCGGTTATTCTTACGCATGAGCCAGGTACGGCTATGTGGAGCGAGAGCGGGGAACACTGCGCCACTCAACTCAGTCTAAATACATTCACACCTCACCTAAACCCACTGACATTATTCATGACAAATTCGGACAGTATAGACCGATCCAAAACCCTAACTTTCAACTTCGTGAAGATCTCGACTTCTGTGTACTCGTATTTGATTACTGTTCTGGCATCGCAATTACAATTGTCCTACTGCCCCTATATTACGTATTGCGAACGCCGGAATGGTCCGCTACATGGGTCACAACCGCCTTTTTCTAAACCCTTGTCTATTTACCATTGACGATCACCTACCCATTTCATTCGATGGCGGGAAATTATATCTGGCATTTCATTTCGTAACGTTAACAAATGAACTACTGAATCTCGGTGGATAAGTGAAATATGGCACGGAGATACACAGATCGCAAACCCACATGCCAAGTTTGTCACAAAAATCTTTTGAAGATTAAAAGTTAAAGGCAAGAGGACGTGCGAAATGCGAGGTTATGTCAGTTCACTACCAGGTAGCCCTACTGGAAATTCCTTCTAATGGTCACCATGCACAGGCGCAGGTCACTAAACTGCACATTTATTTATTTATTTACACTTCCAGCAGCATTTAAAGGAAAACGGGGGCCAGATTTATTCCCAGAATTTACTGCTCATTTGATAGAATAATGTGAAATTTGTATACATGATGAGGTGGGCAGAGCATGTAGCACGAATGGGGGAGAAGAGGAATGTATATAGGATATTGGTGGGAAAGTCAAAAGGAAAGAGACCACTGGGAAGACCAAGGCGTAGGTGGGTGGACAACATTAAAATGGATCTTAGAGAGATAGGATGGGATGGTATGGATTGGATTGATCTGGCTCAGGATATGGACCAGTGGAGGGCTCTTGTGAACACGGTAATGAACCATCGGGTTCCATAAAATTCTGGGAAATTCTTGAGTAGCTGCAGATTTGTCTTCTCCTCAAGAAGGGCTCAGTTCCATAAGTAAGTATACATAATTGTTATGCCCCAAAATTCGAGATAGTAGAAGAATCCACGGCCCAAAAATGTTCGCGCCTAGCGAACAGTGTTGCACAGTTATTGCCGCAACTTGTAAACATCAGTAATGGCAAGTAGGTCAGGAATCTGCTTGCCCAGCAAGGCTGTGTCCTCACAGCGCCAGAAGTTTGCCTAACTCGGGCACTGGAGAATCGGAAGAGATTGCTTACGCAGCGATCAGACGCCCGGGGGGGTCTGCCCACATCCCGATAAGACCCAATGAAAGCCTAACTTTAGGAAATTAGAACACAAGGGAGGAGCTATCTACCCCCTTGTCGTCCACGCGGAATCAGCGAATTAAGACTATAAATGAGGGAAATTCAAGAGACTTGGGATTCTGATTTTAAACAGAATAGAGAGTTGTCAGCCGAAGGCTCTCTTCGACATGGGTCAGACCAGCGGAGGCAGTGTGCCGACATCTTGTACTTCAGGTGGGTCTGTTCACGTATATTAGCCATGCCGATTGATAATCTGTTGTTTGATAGTAATGGTGATAACTGTGTGGTTGAGTTATTTTAATGTGTAAACTCCAGTGTACCCAGTGAGCCCGTAGGGTAGGAAACTATGATCGTGTAGAAGCCTAGGATCTTAGCCAGGCAATGAGTGACTTATA